CCTAATCTATCTCTATAGTTCTGCTGCTATAGGCTTAGACTGCTGGAGGACATAGGGACCCCTTTTTCATCATTCTGCTTCAATCTATCTCTATAGTTCTGCTGCTATAGGCTTAGACTGCTGGAGGACATAGGGACCCCTTTTTCATCATTCTGCTTCATTCTATCTCTATAGTTCTGCTGCTATAGGCTTAGGCTGCTGGAGGACATAGGGACCCCTTGTTCATCATTCTGCTTCATTCTATCTCTATAGTTCTGCTGCTGCATCAGTGGGCCGCCACTCTCCTGTCCTAAAACAGACCAATCACAGTGCAGGAGGCGGGGCCACAATGCAGCAGGATAACCTGAAGCCCTGGTTGTTGGTCACATGTCCGTCAGTCACTGACCCGCCCCTCTGTCCTCAGGTGTGATGCAGCAGCCATGTCACTGCAGGCCACGCTGCGCGAGAGGATCGACTCGGCCCAGACGCTCCTCCAGCGGGCGGAGCAGCTCTGTCCGGGGGTGGAAGGTCATCAGAAGCTTTGCGGCAAACTGCGTGCCGAGCTGCGCTTCCTGCGGCGCGTGGAGGCCGGAGAGCTGCAGGTCAAAGAGTCTCACCTGCACAGCACCAACCTGACGCACCTGACTGCCATCGTGGACTCTGTTCAGAACCTGGAGAACGTGGCAGCGCTGCTGCACGTCTTCAAGTACCAGGACGCAGCCGGACGCCGCCGCACGCTGGTGGTGGACGTGGTGGCTAACGACGGCCTCACCTGGGTGAAGGCGGTGGGCCGCAAGGCAGAGGCTCTACACAACATCTGGCAGGGGCGGGGCCAATACGGAGACAAAAGCATCGTCCGGCAGGCCGAAGAGTTCCTGCAGGCCAGCCGCCAGCAGCCCGTCAACTACCGCCACCCCCGCGTCGTCTTTGCCTTCTACAACGGCGTGTCCTGCCCCGTGGCCGACCGCCTGAGGGACATGGGCGTGTCCGTCCGCGGAGACATCGTGGCCGTCAGCAGCGTGGAGGAGGAGGAGGGAGACGACGAGGACGGGGAGGAGCCTGATGACGGGGTGGAGCCTGATGACGGGGAGGAGCCTGAGGATGGGGTGGAGCATGAGGACGGGGAGGAGCCTGGTGACGGGGCTGGGTTT